TAATAATAATAATAATAATAATAATGATAATAATAATAATAATAATAATAATAATAATAATAACAACAACAACAACGACAACAACAACAACAACAACAATAGTAATAATAATAACTGTGATAATAGTAACAATGATGATGAAAATAACGATAGTAATGGTGATAGTAATAAATAATAGTAACAGCAACAGTAATTATAATTATGTTAAGGATTGTAGTGTAATACTTATATGGTTACTTAATTCTGCTGTAGTTTATGTTCGGCTGGGGTCATTCATCAGCGCAACTGGAAATTTTACTAGTCGCCTTGATTTTTATTTTGCTGGGAGTTTTTTTGACGTTCTTTTCATATCTCCACTGATTATGTGTTTGACTGCCTGACAGCAACAAACTGTCGTTGAAACAAATGAACGAATTGTAGGGGATTAGTTCTCCTCCCACCGACGGAGTTGGCTTCTCGATCTGCTGCACGACAGCTGTCATCTCCATCGGTTTTTGAAAGTTATTTAATCAAAAAACATCCAACTTTAATTTTAATGGAACGGAAAAAAGTTCTTTCTTCTGAGGAAAAGGATGAAAATTTTTGAAAATTTTTTTTTGAAAATTTTTTCCGATATGAGACGTAACATTCAATTGTTTTCGCTTGCTTTTACTGCAGTGATCTCTCGATAGCAAAATCTCAAAAACTGAAATTTTTCATCTAAATGTCCTGCATATTATGAGCATTTTAGAAACTGTGGGGGATCGGAGAGATTCTTTGATTTTTTGATGGAACGGAAAGGCATCGCCATAGCCGTACTGTGCTACTAATGATTATGCAGTAAAATAATGATAGTGACAATAACACTAATAATAATGATAATAATAACGATGACAATAATAATAATAATAGCAATAATAATAACAGTAATAATAGTAATAATAAACAGTAATAACAAACAGTTATCACTGATAGCCCAGACGATCCGGATGATCGGTTTCATAGGATTTTCTATTTCAGAATCGCAATCATTCTCATCATCGGAACAGCACAGTACTTCTAGCTCGTAAGTTTTTTGGTTTTCATAAATTTTTATTATGGAAGTGAAAATCTCAGTTTTTTTTTAATGGTTTTTCTTTGTTTTTTCTCGATATAACTTATTTCTTTTTGTTCGGTAAAAGCATTTGTTAAGGTCGTTATCGAAACAGAGCGATGAGCCGAAGAAAATCGAAGCCGAACATTACGGGTACGTTTTTTAACCAAACCTTTCTTTCCTACGTGTTCTCTTTTTGTGAGAGATAAAGGCATTCGAAAATATTCCGGTGATAAGAAATTCCAACAGCATCTACCCGGCTGGCAAAGCTGCCGTTGGTAAAAATGGGTAAAGTTTTGTATTATAAAAATGTGGTTTCAGACATATTCTTTTTTTTTTTTTGTTTTCAGTGTACCAACAAAAATTCTCGCGCATTTGCTCTCGGCCAGAGGAATATGCGAAAAACCGTTTGAAATCAAAATTGATAATATACGATTTGCAGGATTCCCAAAAACTGTAACTTTTTTAAAAATTAAAAAAAAAATAAAAAACCGAAAATTAAAAAGTTTTAAAATTAAACAATTCAAATTAAAACCGAAATAAAAAAAATTCAAAATTTAAAACTAAAAAAAATAAAATTCACTGTTATTTCCTTTTTTTTGCTGAAAATCGCAGAACATCTTATGTTAATGAGCTGTACTTGCGAGAAAGTAAACGACCACTCGAGCAGACTCCTACGGACTAAAATGTGATGCCCACAGTGATTTCTCTGGAGATTTTGCTGTTCTCGGTATAATTAGAAGCCAGTTTTCAATGTATTTCTTCCAGTTTTAAGCGGCATAAAAACTTATTTTCAATAAATAGTACATTTTTGTGTGTATTCGATTATTAAGGTATCAAATCCGACAGCTCGCTCGCCACAAACTTTCCACGTTGTGTTCGTTTTGCTTGCAAACGCAGCAGCACATCTTGTTGCTTCATTCCTGGAACTTAGGTATTTTTGCAAATTTTGAATTTTTCCGGTTTTGGTAATTCGAAAAAAATTGGAAAATTCTGGTCATGTCGAAATCTTCTTTTGTGTTTTTTCTGTAAAAAAGCGTCTTGCCTTTGCTGTTTTGTTCGGATTTCTTTTTCAGGAAATTTTAGCGATTTTTTTTTGATTTTTTTGAATTTTTTGCTTTTTTATTTTATTAAAAGTTTTCTTGAAAGTTTATTTTTTTTCAAATTTCTTTAATTTTTCTATTTTTTTTCAAATCGCTGATGTGTTTAAGCACGAAAAGAGGACAGTAAAGCTGTAAACATTTTCAGTCGCAAGATAGCAATAGCGATTGATGAGGAACAGACACGTTGTGATTATTTGGGTGATCAAATGGTAACAATGCTGAATGATTACGATAAGAGCGATTCA